GACATCAAAGAAGCCGACCTCCGGGGAAGCATCAGGATTATAAGGGCCCAGTAACACCTGTTTGTGCAGAGCCACCAGTCGAAGCTTCTCCTCATAGGTTGGGTGGAAAGCTTTGCCATCTTTATCTGAGAGCAGCAATGTGAAAGTAATACGTTTGTGGGGTTTTTTTATGTCCTGCTGCTTGTTAATACTACAATACACCTTTGTGCGATGTGGAAGCAGCAATAGCATTAACATCAGCAGTAGCATACAGGCTTATCATTTCTTGATTCAGGACTAAAGAGTAGGTACAGAACAATTGCACTGTTGATTGTGCTCTTTATCCTTATCAAAAAAACAAAAAAACCGACTGCTGTAAGACTATACTGCTTAGATTTGTGAAAACAATCATCTTTTGAGATCACAATTTTTGTTAAAGCAAGGGTGAGGCAATAAGATTAATGCATACAAGTTAAGCAATCGACCTAACCCTAACTAACTAAAAAACACAAAGCAAAGATTACTATCACATAGTGACAACCAAGTCCCAACCTGTTTGCACAATCATCACAAGTATATTACTCTAGTAAAAATACAACAAAAGCCCAGTATTCCAAAAGGCTTCCACATGTTCATGTTTGCAAAGTAATTATTGACCTGAACTTGTCTTAAATCACAGTATATTGATTAGATGAATTTAAAGGCTGAAGGGGTTGAAAGACTGGTTTGGATATACTGTGCTGGATTAACTTGCTATTTTTTGACAAATGAAAGAACTCAAATGAGCCTTTCATCTTCAAACTCAAGATAGATGTTATAGATGCCATTAATTTGCAATATATTCCAAGCTGTCTTTTGCGTGCAGAATGACAGGGTGTAAGTGATGATACTGATGTCAATGATTTCATAAAGGTGGTGGCATAAACTCTGAATGGCCTTCCAGTTTGAATGCATCCAGAGCACAAATAGAAATACAAATTCAGTGGCAAGTTTTCTTGTGTTTCCTGTTGGACTAGAAGCAGTATGGGAGTGGTACAGACATAAGGAGGCAATGGAGCTGTAAAACAGGCTGCTGGTCATACAACACAGTGAGCGCTGAAAACATAGTTATAAGCAGCACTGTGAGCTGGTGTTAAAGACGTCGGTCCGAGACTGTGAACTAGTTTTATCCACAGAACTAATTCCTCCAGCACAGCAGAAACCTGTCGGGGTCTAGATTATAAATGAAGGATCTGCGTGAGTAACTAGCCAGCAGGCTTCCTTCAGGCGGAGCAGTGGCAGGGCAGGGCCAAACAAATTATAATGAGCCTCCATTCATTTTGAATGGTTAACGTCTTGCATTACTACTTTTACATTAGCTAGCTCATGGAGCAGTCGTATGACAAGACGGGTTAGTCTGTTGAAACCCAAAAAGTGCATACAGAAGGGAGGCAACATCAGGCAAACAGCAAGTTGAGAATATTTTCAAGACACAGACAGACAAGAACGGACTACTCGGGAGTGCCGTGTTTGTTTTACCCTTTAACAGCCAGCTAACAGCTTGTTAGCCACTCGTTAGCTATGTAGCTAATGTAACGTTGCGGCTGACAGCAGCAGCCCCCGGTGGTGACAGCTAGCAGCTAATGTTAGCAACCTGCTAATCTCAGCCAGCGAGTGGTTCGTCTCACAATTTAACGGTCGTTTCCAATGAGAACCGTTTTTCTGCGTCAGGGCTGCGAGATTATAACAAATATAAAATACCTTTGAAAAATTTGAGTGCCATTCCGTAGAGCTCTTGTAGAGGAAAGCCCCATTTCCTCTCTATCGCAGATTTGGCAGTCTCTCCATCTTCGCCCCCAGCGGCTCCCGGCGTATCGGTCTCGGGTTCCGCGGGTTTGGGGTCCGGTTCTTCGACCTGGCCCTGCTCGCCCTCCGGGTCGGGACTGAGGGTGAGGCCATCGATGGAAACTTCGAGCCGGCTGGAAGTAGCACTGTCGAGGTCGCCGCTCTGAACCTCTGTCGCCATCATGTAGACTGTCAGCTGAAGCAGCCACGTACCTACTTCCGTTTAGACTTGGCGGAAGTTCCGGGAGATTGATGTAAATAATGACGACGCTCTAACTGATTACAGAAATATTTACATACTTTTTTTTTCTTGGGACTGTAAAAAACGGAATCTTTTTTCATATTTTGTTGTATTTTTTGAACAACAGGATCGATACAAGAATTTTATTCGTAATTAACCTGTTTATTTTCCTCGGGAAATAACATTTTTTTTTATTTTTGTGATAAAATATTGTATTACAACATAAGTAAAAGTCATAGTATTCATTTTAATATGGTTATCATGTAAGAGCACTGACCATCATCATATATATTTACATGTCATGTCTCTTATATTTGACTTTCAACGTTCTTTTGACTGCTGAAGACCTTACATTTAGTTTTGTTTGAACAAAACATAATAAAATACATAAAACATATATTATTACATATATTATATATTTTTGCTTTAAAATATATTTTGGTTTAGTTTTGCCTCTTAGTGAAGTGGATGGGGATGGATGTAGGCCTACATCTGTTTATTTCTACTTGTAAATATGAATTATAACCTGACAAATATTTAAGAGTTTAAAAGACATGATAGCAATCAATCATCAACAGTCATGTTTTTGATAAATGCCAGAAATGAGAATCCAATTAATTTAGTCATTAAAGAATTGTGACCAATATATTTTACAGCTGGTGGAAAAACTATGTAAAAGATAGATGTTTCCGAAATTACCTTAGATACTGTATATCTTTCGCATTTCTGTACTGACATTTCTTGCCACACTGATGCCAGTTTATCTGGCAAAAGATAATGCTGATTGTTGATTTATCAGCCTGGACAATTCATCAGTCCAGCTCTAATATGAATACATTTCATATTGCAGTATCATTCACAATTCTCTGCTTAAAAGTTGTGTACACAATAACATTGATGTGTGCCTCTACACTGAGCACACTATTCTATTAGGAAACAATAAATGTACTATAGCTTCCTTAAAACATCCTTCAAATACACAAAGACTGAACCATAACAATGGCACATAAGACAGCTGGCATTTTAACATATCCCTGCAAACTTGTGAGGATAATTTACCTGTCTGTCTGCAGGTTAAATGTAGGTTAAAAAGTGGTCAGTCTTTAAAGGTGTGAATGTGCTTTTGTTTGTGTCTACAGAGGCAGCTGCCTACTGGAAATGGCCAGTAGAAGTCCCAAAGTGTTTTTACTGTTTGATGTTTGAAAGTGCAGTCTGTTAACTACAATATATCAGCACTGATCAGTTTAGAGCTGTGTTCTTTTAATCTAATTAAAATGTCAAATCTCCATCATGGGCTGCCAAATTAAAATTATGACTATATACAAACAATAAAAGCAAAAGTGCATTACATCTCCCTGCACTTGCAATGCTGAATTATTGGTGCTCTGTGGCTGCAGATAAACAGCATACTGTATATTTTATGATCTGCTGGTAGCTCTCAGGAAACCTGTCACTGACCATTACAAAAGATCAGGAACTTCAACAGCCTGATTTTAGCATAGCAATATGGTCTGTGCACACAGGCAATACCCAATTAGGGTCATCAGACAAAGCAACTTGTGAACTGTGATTGCCTTTACCAACAATCACATCCTACCTGAACAATGCGATATGTGTCAAAGTACAGAGATTGATAAATGCTGTTGTGGATGTGAAATGACACAATGGCCATCAAGTAATTTTCCCAGAGATCAACAAGAAAATGACCAGAGAAAACCTTTGTTGTTCTAAGCTATAGGTCTGACTAAATGCTGAGACTCAAGACTCATTTAACCAAAAGTGCAATATGCTCCCCAATGACTTAATCCAGTATGAGTTGTATCAAATTAATCCTATATGAATTGGCATGCGGTAAAGAGCAATCATTTGGTTTCAATCCATATTGCAGTAATCATGTCAACCCACACCCAAAGCAATTAAACATGAGGCACAAAATGTAATGTGTTATTACCCAAGTATGTATAAAAATCACTCAAATGAATCATCTTGAAATATTATTAAAAGAGCCTGTGACCATAAAAGCTAATTCCTGCAAATCTAGTTCAAATATGTGGGAGCAAATTAATCAGTCTGTGATGCTATCTGACCTCTTGACTTGATCCCCCTCTGAACCAAATGAAGGTCACCCATTCAATAACAAGTCACCACTCCTGAGTACTTTTGAACTGAGGTTTGTGTATTGAGATTAACTTTGTTGCCACTGACAGGGGACAGGAAGCATCATTAAGGTTATAAAACATAATGTATATTGTTTGACATCTAAGCCTAGAATTAAAGAAAAATGCAACCATGTAAGAATATTTCTAGTTGCTAAGTCAGTCTATATTTCAGAATACATTTTGAAATATGTCTTTTATTTGAAAAACATTTAATTTAGTGACTCCTGCTATACTAATTATACATATACTGTATATATATACACACTGCAGACATGATCTTCTACCTCTTATCTCCAGCGACTGACTTGAGCATGTATATGAAACTGGCCAAAGTATATATCGAAATGGATTGGCTCCAGTTGTTCTGTTCTGTTATCATGGAGCAACACATTGCAGCCGCTGTGAGCCTCTAACCCGTTGAGGAAATGGCAGTTTCCGACTGCCGTGCTTTGAAGGCAACAGGTCCATTATTGCTTCATCCATTCCAAAGCGAATAAATGTTTTCTCTGCCGATGTGTATTGAGCATGCAGATTCCATTAAAACCCCTTTAAAGAGACCTGCGGTCGCTCCAGCGCCTCAAGTGTGATGCCTTCACACCTTCGCCGGGCTGCAGACGTCTGAAGTTGCAGCACGGCCGCTGCAGTGCCAGCCGGCACTGATGGCTTGCCCATTCACACATCCAGACAGCATCACGTTTGATCACAGGGGGATTTAAACCCAGCGAGCGCACAGGTCTCAAACTCAGTCAGTCGCTGGAGATAAGACGTAGAAGATCATGTCTGCAGTTCATGGGAATATGCGCGTCGGGGACCTGAATCATTTCCAGATGTATCACGAAGGGCCTCTGCAGATGAACAGCATGGTGAACTCAGGTAGTTGGCTAAAATGTTCATTGCTTTCACCTCCTATGCTCCGTTTACAAGAACATAGCTATCTTTGTGGCATAGTGGTTAGAGAAAATAACAAAACTGTTGCCGATTCTGTGCGTAATTTACGCACAAGTCCGCCACTGTTTCTCTTTGACGCCTACTTACTTTAAAAACTAAACAGATTGTATGTTTTCTTTTCAGATTATGGAGCCTCAGATGTGACAAACTACTTCAACTCTACAAACTCCGTACCGAGGGCGGATAAATGCGTGGCCATACTGACCCACAGGAGAAAGAGAACCAACTTCACTCAGCAGCAAATTGAGGTGCTGGAGAAAGTTTACTCAGACACTAAATATCCTGACATCTACCTACGAGAGAGACTCGAGGCTCTGACCGGGCTACCGGAGTCCAGAATTCAGGTAAAGCCCGATCTAAGTGTCTCCTTTTGACTGATTCATTTGCACCAGTAAAGAAGATTTGGGAATGAAGTCTTAAAATCATTGGGAAATGCTCTACAGTTCGACTCAATAACCTTAAGTTGTGGCAGATTTATGGAATTGTAAAATGGGACAAAATGGGGTCAACTGTCCTCATGTCTATGTTTTTCTTCCTACAAATCTACCAGGTCTGGTTTCAGAACAGAAGGGCCAAGTCTCGTCGCCAAGTTGGCTCATCTGTGTCCATGAAGGTCGCCAATCCACCAGCAGCTGGGCCTTTCAGCCAACTCCAGAGCAGGATGGGCCCCGAGAAAGGTAATCATTAGTCATACTAAGACTCTTATTTAATCACTCTAACATCAAGTGTGCCTGCTCAAAAAAAGAGAAATTATTATTACTCCTACCATTTAACTCACCTTAGTTAATGCCTACAGTATTTTGTCACTGAAATATCCTTAATGTATTTTATACTTAGTTTAAATTCACCTAAGTTTACACAACTACTTGTTTGGAAAACTACCACACATGGTCTTCAATGTGGGAACTAAGAAAAAGATTATAGAGCACAACGTTTTTTGTTTATTTTTATAAATATTTCTTACATTTCAGACCTGCTTCATTTTCTTTTTGCTTTTCTTTCAGTTTATGACAACAATCATAGTGCAGAGCCACACAGGATAGGAGGTTTTGGATTAGATGACAGTTTCAGACCTACAATGCACCAAAACACTGAGGACCCACACCGGACCAGTCTGCCCACCAAACCCAGCAGCTATGAACACACATCTGTCTCTTGCATCTATGAGAAGGAGGGAACCAGAGTGAAGCCCGAGCAGATGCAGCGACATGAGCTGAGTGTTAACGTCCCATGCTGCAACATCCATCTGTATCCCAAGGAGAACGAGCATCACCCCAAGATCGAAGCCAACATGACAGGCAACCAGGGTCCAAAGGTTCTGGTGGAATATGATAATTTCCCACCCAACAAAACCATTGGACCAGAGATGAAAGTTGTGATCCCTCCCATTCCCACCCAGAATAACTTCAACAGATCGTCACCAAAGGATAACAGATGCCAAATCCAGTACCCACAAGTGAGGCCTACAGGGGACAGGTTCACTCACTTTTCCCCAATCCACACCACTGAGGCACAAGACTTTACTGATTCAGACTCTGACTGGGAAAACGAGGCTATGGCTGGCTTTGGTGGCTTTATGTGATCTATAATAAGAGCTGATATAAAGAAAACTACATGTATCATAAGAGGTGGTATACAGTTGTTTGTTTGCATAAAAAGAAAATGTGTATTTATTGTAAAATAGTAATAAAACTGATGATTGTAAAAGAAAAATATTGATACTTCATTTGTTAATAAAGACTAAAAAGTAGAAAACCAAATACTGCTTTGCAATATTATGTTTAATATAAAAAGACGGAAACATTTATATACAATTGCCCTGAGGCACTCTCATATACAACTTTACAAAACTGAAAAAGGAGATTCTCTAGGAAAAAACTGTTGACTTGAATTTTCAGGGTTACATCAGTGATGCAGGCTTAGTGTGGGGGTTGCAGCAACAGCCATGCCAAATGTGGAAATGCAAAGATCATCTTAGGGAGTAAAAGGCATCAAAACCCCAGAGTTCTCCTTTATAAAAATACCAAAATCTCTTTTCAGTGCACACAAAATTACAAAAGTCATTTCTGAATACACAGCAGAAATGTTGACGATAGTCCTAATAATCAGAGATATTGTACAATTATCTACAATAAACAATTTTATAAAACATTTCTTTAGCCTCCCCTGTGCTTACCATCAGCGGAGCAACAGAACACAACACTTACCTGGGGAAACTTTAGAGATAGCAAAATATTGTTTCATAACCATACACACCTACTCAAAAATAAATAAATATGGACTATAAAAACTCTAAGAATCAATGTTTGGCACAATGAACCAATAAATAACCATTGAAAGTTTGGAGAAGTGGATTTGTGGCAATAGAATAGTGAAAGACTCTTTCAGGTTTGTGTTCAATTGGGCGCACAAACATTTTCAAACAATAAAATGGGGGGGTAAAATACTTCTGACATCCTCCCTCCCTTCAGCACAAAGCATCAGGAGCCTGGGCAGAGCCGTTTCACTGGGACATCCAAATTCAGATTGTGTAGAGGTGGTCCACAACATCCACGCAGGCTTTTGTTCAGTCTATTGACAGTTCAGGTGAAAGCACCATCTCAAAAGACAGTATTAATGGACCACACATTTGTAGGTGTGCATGCACCTGTGTGTGTGGTGAGGACGATGCAGGTCCTCAGACTGCATTGGTGTTGTTGGCAGCAAACGCATGCAGATTGCCCAGTTGACTAAGGCCACTCTGGATGTGTGCCACATGGATCTCAACATTATTCTGGAAGCAACTGGAAAGACAAAAGAGATAATAATGTAAGTGACTGACATTGTACCAGAAAAGGAAAAAATGTACATTGCTTGTGCTTACAATTTAAACACATACAAAACTATGAACCATTCCATCAATTAGATTGTACAGCTGTGTAGATAGAAATACTGTAGCTTCATTTACCTGAGGTTGGAGGGATCAATTGATGCCTTTATATCATTAAGGGAGTCTGTTAGAGATTTGAACTCAAATGAATTCAGGTCTCCTCCATCTGCCAGACACTGAAACAAGCCAAAAGAACAGATAAATAACATGTAATCAAGTGCCACTCCGTAATAGAAAATCTTTTGAATTTTTGATATGAAGATGCTCAAAATCTAATTCACCAACAAGACGTTTTCATCACAGAGAATAAAAACAAATAAACGAGGATAAACTTCAACCAGAATGCAATTCAGCGAGAATGCCCAATGTCATCCTGACATATGTTGAGAAATTTGAAAGCAGACAGCAGCAGTGTGGATATATCCTCTACCTTGATCTGTAGGAGCAGAGCAGTGAGGCGGGAGATGAGGTGTGTGAGGCTGGGGTTTGTCACACTCTGCTGTCCATCCTTCAGGGAGTTACTCAGCTGCACCATCTGCTGGGCCTCTTCTTCACAACGCCGCCGCAGCTCTGTGGGATGGTCAGCTGGAACCATACCCTGATCTGGAGCGAGCTGGACAAACACACATTGTTGATTCACAATTTAAACAAGGCTCTGTTAGTTTATTTTTTCAGATTGTTCAAGATTGAACAGGGCATGAAATAGTCATAGTATTACTAATAGTAATTAGTGATGAGACTGAAATGTCTCTATTGACATACCTCACAGCAAAACTGCTGAACTTCATGCAGCACCTTATTGAGATCTTTGTTGAGCTGCTCCAGCTCAAGCACTGTGGTCGCATATCGTTTCTGGAAGTCCAGGTCAATAGGCATCGAGTACGACTTCTGAACATGAAAACACAAAGATAGGTTACCTGGGCTTGAAGAATGCATCTCAGAAATATTTACATGTTGGCGAAACTTTAAATCAAATTATGATCATACCAGTTTCTCTGCCTCTGTGTTCATTTCTTTCAAGTGCTTGATATGCTCTTTCTTGATCATGAGGATTTTGGACAGCCTCGTCTAATCATGAAAAAATAAGAAAGAAGTGGTTAAAACAATGTGTTAAAAAAGTTTTAGGATGTCACCTTTTAGTTTTCCATTTGAAAGCATTTACCACTTGGACCAGGAACTTGACAGGAAATCCTCCCAGAGTATCCCCCTCAGCACCAGGCAGTTTGTTCCTCCATGGTGACTGGTTGATAAGAGGGTCATTGTCCTGTAACAAAAAAAAAAAATCCCACAGTGGAGTCATTCATCTTCATAAGCAATGCAGAGGAAGAGATTTGCCATTTTTCTGAAGACATGCTCTGTAGTAGCAATATGATGCACACTTGTCCTGTCATTGGATCCATTTATTTTCATTTATTCTCTCTTTCACAGAAATAACACAAGAACTAGGTTTGCTTTAAGATTTTTCCTTCAATTCAATAAATTCTTTGTTGTGATGACGTTATTGAATGTGACACTCCCTGATCTGTCTTTCTCTAAATATACTATTGTATGTATATATTTACAACCTTCTTGAACTAGATATGTTAAACAAAACCTTGTCAGAATAAATGACCAAGTAACTGTTGCAGTAAAAAAATCTACTCACAGCCAAAGCAGATTTAAGCCAAAACCAAAAAGTAATTTACAACCGATAGAACTGGTTGTGCATTTACGAGGGCAAGTGTGATGGGACAGCACATATAAATCTGTCATTAAATGTAGGTTCATATTACCATAAGGACAGGAGTAGCAGCGGACGGGTAGGGCGCTCTGGGTGGAGTCATGAGGTTTTGCATGTAGCGTGTTGTCCGGTGCTTCTGGGCAAAGGCTGAAATGGGCATGGTCTCATTGGGTTCATTGCTCTGGAAAACACAATCATCACAACAATGTATCATGAAACTCCTTCAAGTACAGCTATTAAAGAATAAAAAAAGAACAAAAATGCAGCCCCATAGTTTTCAAACTAAAATGGGGCCAGGAGTGTTTCCAAAAGTCTCCAATTTTATAGGTTCCAAAACTAAAGAATACTATGGGTGCCAGGTGTAAAAGAAGCAATAGGAATGTGTTTTAAAATGAAAACATATTAGTGCGAATGCAGCCTCAGAGCAGCTGTTATCTTAGCAAGCCGATTGGCAAATCTTACCAAGACTTCATAGTCAGGCACAGTGTGTGTTCCCAGACCAGTGCGGTCAAAGGTGACACGATACGTGGCAGCGCTGGTGTCCACTGCATCAATCTGCCCAGTGAACAACCCATCATGGACACCTCGGAGTCGAGCTGTTGAAGAAAAAACTGAATTGGTACTACACATAACACTTCACTGCAATTAGGGTTTAGCCTTTCACTCTTAATAGTTCTCTTATTTGATCATTACATAGTCATAAAAATATCAGGTTGCTTGAAATGTTGTGATCAATACAGGGATTAAAAATGCTCCTACTGTTTGACATGCAAAAATCAGGCAAATACTGAAAATGTAAACTTGTTTGCTTTGCAGGTCATTTAACTGAAATGTCTTGCTGTTGTAACTGCTGAAAATGATGCATCTACGTTTCAGGCCTCTTACCAGTGACTTTGGTTCCTATGATGAGAGGCAGGGGGATTTCATCAGGAAGGTCTTTGCAGTTCGACACGTCAGACAGTTTTCTTTGCTGCAGCAGGCGCATCTTCTGCCTCTTCTGTCTCAGCGCTGTTCGCTCTTCAGCAAAAAATGCTGATGAACACCTGGACGAAACAGAACAACACATTGCTATAACACTATTTCTCTTTACAGATTAAGTCTTTGAGGAAACAGTCTTATGAAAAATACAGTTTCAAATATTTAACATATCAAAGAAAAATGGGGGGGAGGGGGCAATGAGTGAAAATGGTGTGTAGAGGCAGAAAGTGTAAGGATGGCAGCATACCGTCGAGGTTTTCCCATCAGTCTCCTGATTGTTCCCCACTCAACTCTTGTCAGCTTTCTTGTTTTTAAGTTGGGGAAAGACTCTTTGAGACACAGGCAGAACTCATTGTCACCCTCAAAAAGAGGTCTGGAAGAAAAGATAGAAGTGAAAAATCCTTTAGACAAAGATACTGTATATTAACCAAAATTTTAGCTTTAAATTACCCAATTACGGCTAATCAAAAAGTTAAGCTTCTGGAAGTCTAGGCTTGTTGTTGTAACACTATAACAATATTAGTTTAGTCAGTTTAACAGTGTTAATAATTTAAAAGTACATGTCACTAGGGTTTTCTTCAGCATGAATTTAACACTTCCTTTAGAGAGAGAAGATACACTGTATGATGTTGAGCACTTGGCATTCACTCTGCACCAAACATGACAAGCTGAGCTCAGACCATGTATAGGCAGCTAATTTTTCCCTTTTTTGTATTTATGCGTACCTGCTTAAGATAACTGTCTCCTGAAGGTGAAAGCGAGACTTTACCTGTCAATATTGGAGTAGAACCACTCATAGATGCACCATTTGTGAGCTTTGGGTAGCTTTAGGAGGTTTCTTAATCTCAGCCCTATTTTCTGGGATGCCTTTTTATCTGGTGTCACCACATTAGAAAACTTCTGTTAAGAAAAAACATTAAAACATCAGTTATTCAATTAAATTGCTTTCACATCCAGCTAATTTTCAATGACAAGAGGCAAATATCTAGCAGTGTCCAGCAGCTTCAGCGCATTCAGTGTGTATTGTAAAGCAGCAAATGGAAATACTGTCAGAATAGACACTGGCTACCATCTCTTTGTTAATAAATAAACTTGTTAACATCATAATATAGCCATTTTAGTGTGTTTTCGGAAGTGCAATAGGAAGGGAAGTTCCAAGCTCCATGAAGCAATGTTGCAGTGTCTGCCAACCATTATCTCTCCACACTTTTTACACCATCTTTAAAAGCAACGCAAGAGTAGGAAAGTGGGAAATTATAACCGCTTTTCACTATGAATAACTCTCATGGTGTATAAGCTTTACCTGTGGTGTGGTGGTGACCCTCTGGCTCCTCCGAGGGGATCTGGAGGGGAGACGCTGTTGTGGCTGCTCATCTTCCTCCCGAAACAAACGGCTCCTCTTTGAGCTCCGTGTGGGCTGGAAGGATAATGTTCATGAATAGAGCCAATAATGCTGAAAGAATAAAACTCTTTTCATACCAGGCACAAATATTTGTGTGCAATAATCTCACTTTATAGAAATACATTTAATAAGCAGTAGAATACTCTATATGTATCCAGGCAAATACATGTAAACAATGGGGATTTTTTTTGGATAGTTGCTGTCTTTATCTTTGATTTAACACTTCTGACACAAAGAATTTTCTAGTGAGGTGAAAATATCCACTTCAAGCACACTGTCACATTTTGCTCTGGGCTGACTGGGTCGCACTTTATACTAGACTCCCTCCTAAAGTCCTGTGTCCCAAACTTTGCCACTGGCATTTAGAAATACTGCCTACTACTTTAATTCAGTGCAAAATGGAATACACATATTTGCACTAGACCAGGTGCATGAGGAATTCATATTTCTTCCAAATTCACATTTCGTGTGAAAACAATAGTGAAGCAATAAATTAAACTATTTAGCTGAAAAAGACAATTGCAAAGAAAATACTTAACTGCAGCTGATAAGATCATCAATAGACAGTGAATCAACACCAACAATACTTCCATACTAAACAAAAACCCCTTAATTACTGAGTAACAGACAATGCCATTTAATTGTTGTGAATTTCAGTTGTCCTTTTGAAGTTTGTACTTTCATATTAACTAACTTTTCATTTAATTGTTTATATAACAGAATATAACAGAAGCTCCTCTGTTGCTACCTCTTCACAGGTTTAAAACTTTGAAAACAACAGTGTGCTTCTTACCGTGTCCATTGTGAGGGAGGAATGTCGTCCCCTGGTGTTGTGAGCTCTTGGGAAGCTGTTCTTTTCATTCAGAGTGTTGGACAAACTGCCCTCTGTATGAAAACCAATGCATTTATTCAAAATAGTGTCAGAACACCAGATTAAAGACCCCACTCAGACCTACTCCCTATCAAATGTCAGACTAAAAACTATTCTCAAATCACAGAAAAAATGTAAAGTCTTAAACAAACATTTATGTTTGCAAAAATACAGACAAAACTGCAATGGGGGAAAATTATAACACAATTACAGACGGGTGGCAAATTAAAGAAACCTGAATAAATGAGTGGAGAAACATAACAAATGCACATTTCCACACAGGTGCACTGCATGGTACAATTAAGCAATTAACATCCAGTAATGCTCTGTGGCATGAATAAAAATGCTGAGCAGGTGCAGTTGATTCAGAGTTTGTATCAAATTGAAGAAGAGAAAATGATCTAAGTGACTTTGAAAGGTTTGTTGTTGGGGCACAGATTGCAGGAGCTTCAGTCACAAAGACTGCTCAACTGGCTCATGTTTCGATAGGAACAGTGACTAAAGTAACATCTGCACTTAGATCTAGGGGAAATACATCAGTGAATAGGGTTGGAAATTGAAGTCAAAATCACACATTTGATGATTGTGATGCTCGTGCATTAGTGCAATGCGTAAGGAAAAAGAGAAGGGCAGCTCTTCCTCAGGTGACTGAGAATGTCAAAATGCAGGACGTGATCAGACTGTGTCAGCAAGTACAGTCCATCAACAGTTACATAGGGAGGGATCTTAGAGAAGGGTTGCAGTGCATAAACCCGTCATTACAAAGATTTATGCTCATTTGAGAGTTCAGTAGTTCAAAAACCATAGGCACTGGTCTACAGAGATGTGGAAAAAGTAATATGGCAGGATGAGTCACACCACCAGGTAATATCTTTTGGAAGAATGGCATTCCATCCCTCCGGTAGAGTTCCAGAGACTTGCAGAATCAATGCCAAGGTGCACTGAAGCTGTTCTGGCAGCATGTGGTGGTGCAACACCTTACTATGGCTCTTTATGTTGGTTTTTCCTTTAATTTGTCACCCACAATGTTCAGGTAGTGTGGGTTGTCACTGTAAGCTTGTCTTTATGGTGGGTCATAAAGAAGTATAAGAATTTAGTATAAGTATGGGAAGTAGAAGAATTTAAGATTCCTGAAAATATTTCAACAGTTTACCTATAGCATATGTCAGCCAATACATATACAAACAAGATAAAATCTGAATAATCTTAATTGAAAAAGTATGTTTTGGCATAGAGAATTACACTGCAGATTCCAGTAGCTCCCAATGTACTTACACAGTACTAAGAACAAATGTAGAGAATGATAGATACAGAAAGTGCCTACATACCTTTTAGACTGACAAGTGCCTCTGCTGAAGAGCCTGAGGAAGAGGACAAATTGGGCTACATCAATCTACAGTCTTGCACTAACAGCATTAGAAAACACATACACTCAGATTATTAGGAACAAAGAGCTAAAACTAATGCAGTTTAATACAACAATCCTGCACTAAGTCCTGCCTACATGAAGGCTATAATACAATATAAAGAGGTGCTGATTCAACTTTATGATTATTTTTGGAGGATGGTGGTGCTTTTGAACTGTACTGTATTGAAGTGTATCTGTTGTTAAGACTAAACTGAATGATTTGAATGAAGTGGACAATATACAAAGCACATTGGTCATCATAATTATACATATTACACTGCAGTGGTCTTAGCTAGGAGTTCCCAATAAACTGACAAAAGGGGGGTTTTACACTAACTATTAATGCTATGAATACTTTGCTAATCATATCACTGCGATGAATAAGATAATTAGGCTATGTTCTCTAATTTTAAGTTCATGATTTATTTTTAAGTTAATATGATATGTTTATTTTGGCTATCATAGAAAACGTATGTAAATTACTGACGTCTACGAGTCTGTCCTTTAAACATTGACAGCAGCCAGCTGGGTTAAACTGAAGTTAGATACAGTGAATGCTAGCGCAGTCAGTTAGGCCTTTACCCCCCAATTCAGCTGTCAAGCACGGGTTTAACATCAGCTGACCAGATCATATCAAAGAAATGAGCTGAACAAGCTAACGTTACACTAGGTTACAATCCAGAGAGCATATTCAGTTACGTTAACTACGTTCACATCAACTAACATGACTATTTCAGGTGTTAACTAGCCACATAAAACTTGGCTAGTTTCCCTTAACCAGCTTGTCAATATGAAACACAACGCGTTACCATGCAACTTTAACCTGCGCTAACTACCGTTAAATATAAGGAAGATGTCACAGAGCACTAAAAATCTATACCCAGAAAACCAGGTAGCTAGTAGCTAGCGTGTATTTTTTCCCAGTAGTGACGTTCTAGCAGTCCTTTTGTTATTGCTGCGTACGATGTAGGGTTAGCAGACGTTAGCTAGTAGCTAAGCTAACGTTATTTGTTTACCCAGTTGGGCTAAAGTAACTTGCTCAACTCCTACATTAGCTATGGTTAGCCTCTCCTGCTAACAAGCGTTAGCTGACCTGGACAGACCGGTATATCTTTGCGTCTAAAAATGACCTTACGAAGTCTGCCCAAAACTTACGATATTTATTATATGGACACCGATAGCAGCTTATAACCAAATATGTATTTTATCACCACGGGACGGTTGTGTGTTTACACTGCAAAACTCCTTGAATTTGTGTTGTTACTCACTCTCGTCTAACAGCTGGTCCATCTCCGCCATCTTGAATTAGCCGCGCCGCTTTTTCAAAGACCTTGTCAAAATGCATTCTGGGTCGGGACGCAGTCTGGAGGGCGATTTGAGAAATAAAAATACAATAATTTATCAAACTCATGGTTGGAGATTCACTTTGTATTACATATTCAATTCATACGCACATTAATTTGACAACTTTTCGTACAAAATGTTACGGGAAATGCTTAGAAAACCGTTTCATATCAAAAACTGGACTGAATGGCCATTCAGCAGCAGCCCTCCATTGTTTCATACAACACATAAGTTACTGTCACGTATTTAATTTTTCTTCATTATTGAGAAGGCGGTGTCAATGGTTTTTTCGAGTTTAAATATATCTCCCCATGTGCAAGTTGTTGCTTTGGAGTTATATATAGCACCAGAAAACCAGTCTAAAAATGACTTCCCTGAAAAACCCCTTTCAAATGAATTACGTTAGTAAATTCTAATTTTTGTATATTTAGGCAGCAAGGTTTCTTTTTTCTTAAAAATCCAACTACAAGTTCCAATTTAAAGCCCAATCTAACATCCTCAGGAATCCCATAGTTTATGGAGTACATAGTTTGCTGACCCTGACCTTTGACCTGCCCAAGCTAAAGAGAAGAAAAGAGAAACCCCTAAAGGAAATAAATCAAGTATCCTATTAGTTTGAAAATCTTACAGATTTACATTCATTTCCCCACTGAAAATAAAACAAATTGCAATCACAGAAATTTTGTCTTTTATTTTGTTTGAGGTAAGCAAGAAAAACACTAAGAAAAAGTGTACCACATACAATGGCAGTTGTTTCTTTCACAGAATATCCTGCATAAACATGAACTACAATGTTTTATTTTTCTTTAATTTTCTGCAAGGAAGACAGTTTGAGAGACAAACAACGAAACACATATATACAGGTCAAACCTTGTACAGTATCTTTGAACCCAACAGTCTAAAAAATGTTCATCTTAGTGGCTATTTTACTGGGGAAACTTTGCAAAATATAAACATTGGTTTGTATATGTCTGCAGACTGGTTGTTCACAACTCAGAGCTATCTATTTTGCAGTACTATGCCTTATTAACTACAGATTTATTAAAAGAATCAAGACATGATACCTTTCTCAAATTCAAGATTACCACGTGAGACAGAAAACTAACATTTCTGTTGTCCATGTCTAAACCAAAACCCTTTCGTTGTAGTATGCACTGTGCTTCAACTACTGTACTGAGCTGTGACCCACAGTTTTGAGTCAGAAGTAGGTATTTAAATACCTAATGCAAAAGTAAGAAAGGCTGCCAGCTAGTTAACCTGATGAAAAAGCAATTAAGTGACTGGAGATTTTCAATGACCACTGTAAAGCGTGGTATGGCATCGCTCCTTTGCCAAACATCTTCTGTTGCAGAGAATGAAGCCCAGGCATTTGGAGGCAGCAGTGGTCTTTGTTTTCACTGAAGGAGGTTCCGACACAGCCCATCTCACCACAGGGACGTCTGGTAGTTAAACTTGATCTTCAGGAGATACTTCATGTTTATCTGTGCTACATCATACACAATGTACCTAGAGGAGTGGCGGTTAAGGAAAATAGAGACTATACAGATAATATGACCAACACAGTGAAAAAAAAGTGGGCATTTCACAAATTACAGACATGAGTGCTAAACAGAAATAGATGTTCTAGGGTTAGTTTAATTTAATAACTCTAAGAGGCCTGAGAAAATCGGGTTAGGACAAAATAGTACACTACCAAAAAACACTATACAAAGAGGTTTCAACTGCTTTGTTTCTTTTTGTCCTTAAAATCGACATTTAGCGGCTATGAGCTCATGCAAATTATCAATTATCATCAGTTTATGTGAGAAAAGAAAATTTCATCCAGGTATGAAAAAACATTGGTGCCTCAGAGTGGTCTACATCATGATCAGGAGGTTAGAAAAGAACCTTTCTCACCAGAAAAGATAAGCTGTGCTCTCTCAGCATAAGTCCTCCTCATGTAAACAGTCATTCACAATCAATCTAAACCCGTGTCTACTTCAGTCATTTCATCCAGCAGTGGGTGCCAATTGTACCCTTTTCCATTGCTGACAAAAGCCAGATATATGCGGGTCTTACCAGGTTTTTTGACCAGTGTAAAAGGGGCTTAAAATGAGCTTAGGTCCAAAAACAGAACAGCAACATCAGGCCTAAATTCAGGCTGATAGTCATGCTGTGATTCTTGGTAAAAGAGTAAAACTGAATGCACAGTAATGAAAGCTCTACTTTTACAAGTTAATGGTTACAAATTCAGCTCGAATCAGTTTACTCAACAATATCTGCAGGATAAATCTAAGGCCATTTGGCAAAATTATTATCAATATCACAAACCAGGAGATAAGTATTAAAGGATACTCGTTGTACAGTAGACTTGTGTCGTCAATGTTAGTGTGGACGCCTTTTCCCAGAGGCACTTGCACCCCCTCTAAGTTGACAGCAGCACCTGGATCAGGAGCAGTTCTACCCAAACCTGAAAAGAAAAAGAAATGTTAGAGCAAAGGTCTGAGAAAGACCAGAAACCAAACCTCTACATCCACAAAATCTTCCAAAATCTCCAGTAAATACATTTAGTACATTATACACACATTATTATTAGCAGCTAGTCAGCAGAAAAGCACATTAATAAACAAATATTACTGTTAAATTCTTACCATAGCATATGCAAGTATTTTATATGAATGTTGTATCTTTATAGCATTCAGCAGTTACAGTACTTCCCAAAGTATATTTTTTTCATTATTATTCACATTAAAGAGGCAAAGTGCTATAATTACATTGACCTGCTGTTTATATAATGTGGTGTATAGATATATTTCCCATCACTGTTCTTGAATTATTAAACAATAATCCACCATTAAATAACTGTTCACAGCAATGTGCCTTAACACTGCTACTGCTACCAGTTTCTCACCTTTAACACTGTGTTTGCCCTTTGGTAATTTTGTTATGTGAGAGGCCTTCTTCAATTCATGCCTGCAGTGAAAAAAAAAAAAAAGAAGAAAAAAAAAGCAAGACACATTCATTTACATCTGCATCACAGACATATTTAATAAAACACATAAGAAATAGGCATTTTTGAAGAACTAGGAATGTCACTCACATGTTGCCGAGGGCAACCTCAGCCAGCAGTAGGAGCCCTACAGGGTCTGACTGGGAGGTGTGACAGTAGTTTGCACTCTTGGACACCATGTCAGCAAAGTACACACCTTTGCCGAACATGTAACCAGTCTAGAGAAAATGAAGCAGAACAGTAATTCATGAGCAAAACCAACTTGAAACATTTACTAAACACATCTCTTTATGAATGGGGAGGTATTGATATATTATCATTATCAAGAATAATGCCAACTCATTTAATTACAAACACCACGCACCACTGGGGCTTCTGGAGGGGCAATACGAAGACCCTGAGACAAGATACCAGCGTAGTTAGTGGCACGAGACCCGTGCCACAGTAGCTGGCGATTGTGTAGCTCCTCAAAGGGACGGTAACGCTGGTGCTCTCCCTCGCGAACAATTTTGAATATCTGAAAGAAGGTAAAAAGTCGATCATTTATGACTTACAAACACTTACACGTACAGCATGTTATTCATGCTTCATGTCTTGTTTAAACTGTTTTCCCCAATAATTACTTACTTCTTGCACTTCCAGTGTGTAAGTGTTGTGCGTGGCAGCGTGGGTGTTCTTAACATATTGCATAATGATCTCAGCCTCATCGGTGGTCTTGTCAACAACCTGTGAAATGAACATGTCACATCCTTTAGGCTTTCCCATCATAATCTCTTTCTAGAGTCACCAAGCTGAACATTATTTTCATTGGAGAAAATGGAAAAAATGCATGATGTTGCACACCGTCCATCACTATCAAAGAGTGAAACAGGGGTTACACTACTTACCTCAATCCTGGTTTTGAGTTTCTCGTAGTTTATGTCGATGGGATCATTCTCATTATCCTGAGCCCCTCCTCTAAGCAGACTGTAGGCCACTTCAATATCCAACAGGTTGTCCAACATCTGAACTTTAGCCTGGACGGAGATGTATGCAGATGTATTTATCCGGCCACATCTTTAAATCTGCATTGGGCTTATCAGTGTGATGACAGAACAAGAGAAAATGCACAGTATTTGTGCCCTCACCTGAATGTAGTCCAGGTTGCTGAGCAGTGGAGGTTTCTTCATGCCAAAATCATGAGGTATCAAGGTGTAGAAGCGGTTGGAGAGATCCAGTATCTGTGCCTCTGCCACACAATCTGACACAGCCTACGAGAAAAAAGAAAAATAATATAGTTGATGTAATTATTAAAAGACTGAGAACATTCTCCACAGATATGTACGTCTTTTTGAATTAAAAGTAACACAAAACAAAAGGTGAAAACTGGGATGGCCCTGCAGGAGGAGCTGTTGGTTACTGACCTGCTGTACTTCAGTGAGAAGAGCGTAGGCACTCTGAATCTGCCTCTTACTCAGCTTTCCAAGCGGCATCTTCTGGAGGTCAATCTGCAGACAGGAAAGGAGATTTAAGCTGTACATATGTGGAACACATGGAGGAATAATGCGCACACTGGGATTGCATTAACATTATTCTTCAATTGTAGAAAAGGCAATCTTTTTTTTATTGAGCTGCTGATACAAAAAAGTTGGATGCACAATGTACTTCCTTTACAAAAAACAACTCAACTTTTATTGCGATGGATATGTGGAACCTTCTCATGTTTACTATTAGCTTTCAGTTAAGTGTATACACAACAAGGCTAGATTGACATGCTGGCTTGGTAATAGAAACATAAGGTACACCATTGTATTTAAGCCCCTGGTATTAAATCATAAACAGATCATCTCCACAAATGCTTCCCACATTCCCAGACGATGTGATATGATTTATCAAAACAGCTGTTTTTTGTTTCCCTTGGAGGAGAACAAGCTAGACCTATCTAATGGGGTTTCTCTCCCACATGTTTATTCTCCAAACAAATTAAAAAGTCTTACCTCAAACTCCACCATGGCCTTCTTCATACTCT